CACTGAGATCCGCCTGCCTCTGCCTCCCGAGTGCTGGGATTAAAGGCGTGCGCCACCACCGCCCGGCTTGTTTTATTTTGTTTTGTTTTGTTTTTTGTTTTTCAAGACAGGGTTTCTCTGTGTAGCTTTGGTTGTCCTGGATCTTGCTCTGTAGACCAGGCTGGCCTCGAACTCACGGAGATCCACCTGGCTCTGCCTCCCGAGTGCTGGGATTAAAGGTGTGCGCCACCACCGCCTGGTGCTGAGTACCCTCTTGATGCAAAAAGGCTTTGTGCAACTCAGTGGCCTTCTTTACCTGGGAGATTGGAGATGGATAAGCAGAAGACTATGCCAAGGAAGCTAGAAGAAAGGAATACTGTTCAACCTGAGGGATCCACAGAGGAGGGGCCTCCCGAGCTGGACTTTGTCCTAGGAGGAAAGAAAGAGTGGGGCTAGAAGGACCCAGCAGTTTGTTTGAAGTGTAGCTAAAACAAGACCTCTGTGTGGTGCTTCACTGCTGGGAGGGCCTGGTCTGTGCAGCCAGCCAGCCCTGTAGAGCATCTCACCTGGGGCCTGGGACCAGAGCTCGCACGATGTTTTGCATTCACCATAAGAAATATTTCTGGGGGGGCTAGAGAGATGGCACAGAGGTTAAGAGCATTGGCTGCTCCTCCAGAGGTCCTGAGTTCAATTCCCAGCAACTAGTGGGATCTGATGCCCTCTTCTGGCAAGCAGGCATACATGCAAGCAGAATACTGTACACACAATAAATAAATAAATCTTAAAAAAAAAAAAAAAAAAGAAGAGAGAGAAATATTTCTGGGACTGCAAAGATGGCCCAGCAGATAAAGCATTTACCCTGTCAGTTTGAGGACCAGAGTTTAGATGGCAGCAGCCATGGAAATACCAGCAGGTAGGAGGCAAGGATCCTTGGAGTAAACTGGCTAACTGGACTATCTGAATGATGGAGCTTTGGGCTCAAGTGAGAGATCTTGCCTAAATATATAAAGTAAAAGACAACTGAGGAAGACGGCCAATGTCAGCATTGGCCTACACATGTCACACACACACACATACACACATACACACACACACACACACACACACACACACACACACACACACACACAGTATTTCTAATGCAGGTGGAAAACTTTAAGCAAATTCAAGTGTAAGAATTCCAAGAGCTATTCACAAGCTATCTTGCCCTTTTTGGTTTTGCACTGCACGTACTAATAGCTATGAAATAATGGGCATTTACCATGGGCAGGTACCACACCAAATCTCTGCTGTGGCTTCCTTCCCTAATCTTCTCAACAGTAGCGGGAGATAAAGAGCGTCGGAGTCTCCTTTCTATAACTAGGCGTGAAGACATGACGACATGACTTCCCAAGTCGCTCACCCAGGTTTTGTACTTGGGCAGCCTGACTGTAACTTGCGGATGCTGTACTTCGTTTCCCTTTGGGTCTCCACACACCTCTCTTTGGAATCCTTTGCCTGCCTGCTTCACCCTCTTTCATGGCTTGATTAGGGTTTCACCTTAAACCTCCACTCAGGGAAGTTCCCCTGTTTTTGTATTTTCTTTATCACATGGCTTACACTCTGCTACTTCTTACTTGCTTCCTGGAAGATAGTGAGCTTGGGAAAGGTACGTCTACCTCCAGACCATCGAATTGAGCTCTTAGTACGTGCCAGATTCTCAAATACTGGTTCCCAGTCTTTTTCCATTTAGGCTTATTAAATTCTCCTAGAAGTACAACATGGAATAGTCTGGAATTTCTGAAATCAAAGAATTGTTACCTTTGAGTGGTAAAAAGAAACCAAAAATACAGATTTGTGTAAGTGATGGAGGAACCTAGACCCAATCCTGATGCCATGATAGAGAACCAAGGAAGGGTTTTGGGTTTTTGGGGTTTTGTGGGGTTTTTGGTTTTGAGACAGGGACTCTCTATAGCCCTGTCTGTCCTGGAACTCGCTCTGTAGAGCAGCATAGTTCATGTAGACCATATGCAGCTCAAGGAAGGGTTTTAAACAGAGACTACCTGCCCCGCTCCATATGTGCTTTAAGGAGTTCCAGGCTTGTGCCGGCCGTGGTAGCATGCTCTCTTTTCAGGAAGCAGAGGCAGGCAGATCTGAGTATGAGGGCAGCCTGCTCCACATAATGAGTTAGGTCCAAGACAGCCAAGGCTACACAGTGAGATCCTGTCTGAAAAAAAAAGAAAAATCCCAGGCTGGGGATGTAGCTCGGTGATAGAATACTTGATTAATATGTATGAAATCCTAGGTCCTAGAAGAAAAAAAAAAAAAAAACACCCTGTCTTTCAAATTAAAGAGAATCAAAAAGAACCCGTTTCTGTTTGCTCTCCGTTGGCTGGGTGGGGGTGCCACTCAGAGTGGAGCCTATGAAAGGGAGAATAGGCTTGGCGGGAAGTAACGCAGCCAAACTTGGAATTTTGCTTTTCACATGTATTACATATCTAATATCGTGGTAACAAGATGTATGGAGGAGTGTGTAGCTTGGCTTGGCTTGAAGGTGGAGGAGGGGAAAGATGTGGTTGAGGGAGGCCCTGAAGTCCCTTCCCAACCTGAGTATGCGCATTCCTAGGAAGGCCTGTCAGCTGCGGCAGGGATGGAGCTGGTTAGCTAGGGACATGGCCTTGCTCTGAGGCTCAGCAGAACTGAGAAGGCTCTGTGCTTAGTGCTCTGCAGGGCTAGAGTGGCATCCCCTCGGTCTTCTGCCCTCTCTCCCCAGAGTTGTGTGGGACTCCAGGGTATCTGGCACCAGAGATCCTTAGATGCTCCATGGATGAAACCCATCCGGGCTACGGCAAGGAAGTCGACCTGTGAGTTTGTGTCGTCCTTCCGTCCCCTTCTGTGTGTCATGTCCTGCTTGTTACCCAGGCCAGCCTAACCCATGGTCTCCTTCTCAGCTGGGCCTGTGGGGTGATCCTGTTCACACTTCTGGCTGGCTCACCACCATTCTGGCACCGGCGCCAGATCCTCATGCTGCGCATGATCATGGAAGGTCAATACCAGTTTAGTTCACCCGAGTGGGATGATCGCTCAAACACCGTCAAAGATCTGGTGAGTAGGGGAGGGGCCGTGAGAGGACACCCGGGAAGGCCCAGGGTCTGCCTCTCACGCTCTAAGGTTTCTCTAGATCTCAAGGCTGCTGCAGGTGGATCCCGAGGAGCGCCTGACCGCCGAGCAGGCCCTGCAGCACCCCTTCTTTGAGCGCTGCGAAGGCAGCCAACCCTGGAACCTCACACCACGACAGAAGTTCCGGGTAAGCCTGAGAGTGGCGGGGTCTACGCCTGGCCCTTGCCCTGTGCCCTGTGCTGGCTGCTTTAGTGGGGCAAATGCTGTCCCTTTCCCCAGGTGGCAGTATGGACAATACTGGCCGCTGGACGAGTGGCCTTAAGCACTCACCGTTTACGACCGCTAACCAAGACTGCACTGTTGAGAGACCCCTACGCCCTGCGGCCGGTCCGGCGCCTCATCGACAACTGTGCCTTCCGCCTCTACGGGCACTGGGTGAAGAAGGGCGAGCAGCAGAACCGGGCCGCCCTCTTCCAGCACCAGCCTCCTAGGCCTCTCTCTGTTGTGGCCCCTGAAGAAGAAGGGGACTCCAGCGCCATCACAGAGGGCGAGACTGCACAGGTGCTGGGTTAGGACCTCATCTCCGACAAGCCAGAAAGCAGGACTCTCCAGGAGGAGATTTTTTTTTTTTTTTTTTATCATTCCAGCCTGTTGGGTCTCAGACCTTAGCCCTGCCTTGCCAAGTCTACCACTGATAATGCTACTCAGCACAGAGACCAGCCCGCCACCTCCACCCACCCTGGACTGGGAGGTCCGGGCTGAGGTGGAAGGGAGCCTCTCCCCACGCTGTGCCTGGCCTTGTCATCGCTGTCTGTGATGCATCTGAAATAAAACTGCTACGAGCCTGGGACAGCCAGCGCCATGTCTGCGGTCCGGTTGCACCGGGAAGCACGAGGGCACTCGTAAAGGCGGGGACGGGTTGCTCTGGCCAGGTCTTTATTGGAGAAGATGCTGGGAATCACTTGGTCTTGGCCTTGCCTTTGCTGGGCGGGGGCTGAGAGGGCCGCTCCAGGGCAGCCAGTTTGCTGCTCATCCTTTCCTCGCTCTCCTTGAGCCGCTCCTCTACCAGCTGCTGCAGCTGCCTCAGCTCCTTGCTCAGCTGGGTCTTGATATAGGTTTGGAGGATGCACACCTCACCTGCAGGGAGAGGAGGGGACGGGGTTAACCCCGGGATGAGCCATGCCGAGTGCTGCTTCGGTTCTGCCAGCTGGGCACAGTGGCCAAATACGCTCTCTGGATTCAGATGCTGCCTGCACGTGAGTCTGACATCAGGCAGCCTCCTCATGAAAAACATGCATGGTACCAGTTCTTTGACCACAGGATTGAGTTAATATGCACAGCATGTTTGGAAGCAGGCATTCTGGACCCTGGCATTACCAGGTCTGTGCTTGCTATTGTCAAGCCCTCTCCCGTCATTCTCTTTGTGGGGTCACCTTTTCTACGCATAGCAACACCCTGGGAGTCACACTGTTATCTGGACTTGGGCATAAGGAATTAGTTAGAGAGGGCCATGGGGCTGGAGAGACAGCTTGGTGGGTGGTTCAGGGGACTGACTGCTCTTCCAGAGGATCCGGGTTCGGTTCTCGGCACCCACATGGCGCTCACAACCATCTAACTCCAGTTCCAAGGGCATTCAGACCTTTTCTCTCCTCTGTGGGTTCTGCACACATGTGGGTTCTGCACACATGTGGGTTCTGCACACATGTGGGTTCTGCACACATGTGGTACACAGATGCCCATGTAAGCAAAACTGCCAGACACAGAATAAAAAGAAACAAATCTCAAGAAATTTTAGGGGACACAAGAACCGAAACCACATCCCTAGCTGGGTATAGTGGAGCACTTCGACCACCCCATCACTCAGGAGCTTGAACAGGGGGTCTTGAGTTCAAAGCTGCCTGGCCTCACAGCAAGACCATGTTTCAAAAAGATAAACAAGAGCTGGCGGGATGGTTCAGTGGGTAGAGAGCTTGCTCTGGAAGCCTGACCACCTGAGTTCAGTCCTCAGAAGCCACAGAGGTGAAGGAGGGCTGACCCCCAAAGCCCTCTGACCTCCACACATTCTCATTCTGTCTCTAATAAAACCAGGGACTGGAGAGATGGCTCAGCAGTTAAGAAGCAGACGCAGGAGGGTCCCTAGGAGTTTGAGGCCAGCCTGATCTACATAGTTCCAGAACAGGCAGCACTAAATAGACCCTGTCCCAAAAAGAGAGGGTGGGGGGTGGGCTGAGGATACACAGTTTGGGGGTAAATGCTTAAGCAATGGCTCTAACTTCATTCCCCAGTATTAGAAAACAAAATGGTGTGTGTAGGGCAATGAAATCAAATAGACCCAAACCCTTCATTTGACCTTGACACAGAGTCCCAGGGCACTTTAACCCCTAACGGCGCTCACTTGGCTGTTGTTCTGGCCGGGTCACAGCTTCTGGCTCTTCCTCCTGTGGAGAGGCTCCTTGTTCTGCTGCCGCCTCACCATCTTCTCTCTCTGCACGCCAGAGCAGGAGGAGGCCTTAGTCCCAGCCCCGGCACAGTCCCAGCCTGCCCATCTGTACCCATCTTACCCTCTGGCCAGGACTTGGGTAGCTGTAGCCCCATGTAAGTCAAAGATAGGTCCAGCCGAACCTGGGGAAACGAGGGAAGAGGGAGGCTGAGAGGACAGCACCTGCCGGAAGAGGGAGGGGAGACGGGGCCCCTCGCTGCCTGTACACAGTACCTGGGGTGTGAAGACGTATTTGTAGAGCTTGAAGTGGCGGAAGTAGGTGTTGACCACGTAGTCTGCCAACGCCAGCAGCTGTTCCTCTTTAAAGAGGTCGATGCTAAAAGGGGGCCGCTGTGATGGCAATTAGGAGTTAAGTGCCCTGACAGCCTCCAGAAGCCCACCTAGCTCGGCCTCCAAAGGCACAGCCGTCTGTGAGCAGGGGTGGACCCCAGGGCATCTTCAGGGGAAGAGGGTGGTGGGAGAAACCAGGGGTTTGGGCTAGCCCTTACCCTGACTCCATGGCAGAAGAGGTTGCTGGTAAAGTAGCGGTAGCATTCCTCCACGTTGCCCAAAGGGGTGGCTGGAAGAGAGCGAGGTGAAGCGGTCAGCCCTCCTGCCCTCTGCCCTTTCACCCCACTGCTGCAGAGCGGGGGTTCAGAAGTGGACAGATCTCGGCCTGGCTTGTTTCATTCATTCACTCAACAAATACCAAGTTCTCACTATAGACTTTCCTAGGAGGTTTCAGAGGCAGCGTTTCATTCTGTGCTTCAGGCTAGTGTGGAGCTCACTGTGTAACTCAAGTTGACCTCAAACTGATGGCATTGCTCCTGCCTCAGCCTCCTGAGCACAGGGGTTTCAGGCTTGAGCCCACCAGACCTGGCATCAGGAAGCTACTTTGTTCTTTTTGTTTTGTTTTGTTTTTTGAGACAGGGTTTCTCTATGTAGCCTTGGCTGTCCTGGAACTCACTTGGTAGCCCAGGCTGGCCTCGAACTCACAGAGATCCGCCAGCCTCTGCTTCCCAAGTGCTGGGGTTAAAGGCGTGCACCACCACTGCCTCGTGGTACTTTGTTTTTGAGAGAGGGTCTCCTGTTGCCCAGGATAGCCTTGAACTCACTTCATAATTGAGGATGACCTTGAACTTCTGATTCTCACAGGTGTGTGCCACCCCACCTGATTTACACAGTGCTGAAACTGAACCCCGGGTTTTGCAGATGCTAGGCAAGCACTCTACTAACTGGGCTACATCCCCAGCCCCCAATTTATATATTTCTCAGAACAGACCCATAACACTATTAACATGTGTTTCGTTTATCAATAAGGAAACAGACCTCAAAGGTGATAAAAATGTGGTGCAATAATACTAGTTATAGTGGAACAAAAGTCCCAGATGGCAGTCTCCCTGCTTCTGCTTCCCACAGTCACTTGTGCTAGCCCAGCCTCCTCTCCTGGGGCTCCAAGCTTTTGGTGGCTGCCTCCCTCTCACCAACACAGGCCTTGTGAAGATCTTGGAGCAAGGCACAAGCTGCTGATGTCTGCTCTAGTGAAAAGCCCTGCTGGCGGCAGAAGATGAGCACATGGGAAAAGAGGTCCAAGATAATGGCATCCCGGAGGCTCTGCTCAGGACAGCCAAGCTCCAAGAGCTCAGCCAGAACCCTTGGGAGGGAGAGGAAGGAATGAGTGACTAGCCGGGTTCCCCCACCCACCCTCACCTCAGGACTTAGTTTTATTATGTGGGCATGGGTATTCTGCCTGCATGTGTGTATGTGTACCATGTGTTTGTCTGGTACCCAGGGAGGCCAGAAGAGGGTGCTGGATCCTTGGGAACTGGAATTACAGACCATGTGCGTGCTGGGAACCAAACCGGGGTCCTCTGGAAGAACGGCCAGTGCTCTTAACCACTGAGCTGCCTCTGCAGCCCTAGCCACAAGCCTCTCCTCACCCCATGACCTGACACTCTGCTTTACCTTGCCATTCCTTGTGTGTGTGTCCCCCCCCCCCAGCTCTGTCTCTCCCAACTCAAAACCATACTCTCTCATCTCTTCCACAGTGGCTGCCTTCTCCAGTCTGTGCATAGAATGGATGTCCAGGTATTTCCTGTCAGGAAAAGATGAGACAAATTATTGATGGCTCATATAGCTTCCCCAATGGGGCCATGACTTCTAGGGCATTGGACTGGGGATCAGGAGTTGAGGCTTGGCTAACTTGCTAAGTCCTTTTTGTGGGCCTCACTTCCACTGTAAGTGAAGAACGTTATGGTCTAGGATCTAGACTCTAGATGAACCCTTAGGAGACCTTTTATCTATAAATCCAATGATAAGAAAATCTGAGTTCTTGTCTTGCTGTGTGTGACCATGGTGAAGTCCCCCAGGGTCTTGGTATCAATCTGCACAGTGCTCCATCATGTTTACATGCTTGGTACTTGTCTGTCTTCTCACACTGCCACCTTGGACTGAGGAGCCTGGAACACTGGTGACTTAGTCACCTTGAGCATCTCTCAGCTCAGTCTCTTCATCTGTAAAATTGGGGTGCCCTGGCAGCTGGATAAGACTGTTGGGGAGACCTTAAAGGAATAATAAAAATGAGAGGTGTGATTTCCCCCGGGGCTCTCCACACTTACCACATACAGATCCGGGGCTGGGGTAGCGGCGGCTGTGGAGAGGAAACAGCTTATAGAAAGAGGAGCTATTACAGTACGCGGCCCCTAGTCCGTGGCCCGTCGTGAATGTCTAGCGGGTCTGAGAATGCTAGGATTTCATGTGTAGGAAAGGGGGCGAGGCTTGGCTTTGGTGGGCTTTAAATACTATTTAGCAGCCTATTAACACGGCAACTCCAGAAACGTCTCGAACGTTAGTAAACGTAGTGGCTGGCGGCGCCTTACCGGGAAACCTGTTATAAATATTGACGAGTGGACAACTCTGTCCGGCCCTCACCGGGAATAAGTTGGTTCCAGGGTCTTCAGCCACGTCCACAGAGGTAGTGGCCGATGCGGCAGACTCGGTCGGCACGTCTGTTCCAGTCCTCATGGCCAAGCCACCCACCGAGCTGGGACACCTCTCCAGTTCCTGCTGCAGTCTGGGGAGCTGTTCGGATTCCGACTGCGCCTTGACACCCATGATCTGGCTGGATGTGGGGCTGATCATCTCTGCGTCCTTCTGAGCCACAGCCAGGCGCTCTCTTGCCTGGGACCTGGGACAGCCAGCTCTCCCGCTGCAGTGCCCGGACCTGCCCCTTCTAGTGGTTCTCCACAGGCGGTGAAGCGAGTGGCAGCCAATCCACAGGGGGCGTCTTCCCGATCTAGTCTCCCCGGTGACCGTTGTTAAGGAAAAGTAGAAAATACAAGCGCACGCCAATCATTGAGAAGATAGAGCGCATGCGTAACAAGTTGCACGTGCCTCTTCAAAGTTGCTTGTAGGGGTCACTGTTTTTAAAGACTTAATTAAAAAGAGTGGCCGGGCGGTGGTGGCGCACGCCTTTAATCCCAGCGCAAGGGAGGCAGAGCCAGGCGGATCTCTGTGAGTTCGAAGCCAGCCTGGTCTACAGAGTGAGTTCCAGGAAAGGCGCAAAGCTACACAGAGAAACCGTGTGTGTGTGTGTGTGTGTGTGTGTGTGCGCGTGCGCGTGCGTGGGTGTCCACGGAGGCCAGAAGACGGCGATCGGGAGTTACAGGTGGTCGTGAACCGGGTCTCTCAGTAGCAGTAAAGCAGTAAAGCTGCAGATCCACCTCTTCACCTGCTAGGCTGCACAGGGCCACTGCGGTGTCGGTAACTATGGGAACAGCCTGCTGGCCAATCATTGGGAGACATACAGTCGATCGCGAAAAAAACTGGAAGACTCAAGAGGCGGAACCAAGAGCCACCAATAGAAACAGGAAATAAGTTTCGCCACATCCGGAGCTGCTCTGACGCCTGCGCTGTGCGTCTGGCGGCCGGTGACGTCCGGTGAAGTCCAAGATGGTGGCGCTCGGCTGACCCTACCGTGGGTGCGGACCCGGGCCAGCGGGGGCGGGGTCCGGCTGGCGAGCCCCGCGGGGCGCTCGGGGCTCCGGAGCCCCGGGCGCGTCCGCAGCTCTGCCCTCTGTTCCCCGCAGGTGACGGAAGTGCCGCCTCCGCCCGCCTGACGGCCCCGGAGAGCCCGGAGCTGCCCCGCCGCCGCCGCCGCTATGTCTGGCCTCAGCAATAAGCGCGCCGCCGGCGACGGGGGCTCAGGACCCCCAGAGAAGAAGCTGACCCGCGAGGAGAAGACCACGACCACTCTAATCGAGCCCATTCGTCTTGGGGGCATCTCTTCCACGGTTGGTGGGCTTTTGCTAAAGTCATGTTTGGCCTCAGCCCAAAGCGTTCAGAATCTTGTGTGTGCACGTGTGTGTGTGTGTACACACAACGGGGGCGGTGGGGGGGGCATGGCACGCGTGTGATCAGAGGACAACTTTGTAGAGTCGTTCTCTCCTACTCATACATAAATATGTTCCCATAAGTCGTGCGATTTGTTAAAAACTTGTTAGGAAAAAGATAGTGGTAGAAACAGAATGTGAAGCTCTCTGTATGTGTCTGAGTCTTTGGATTTCACTGGTAGCTAGCCTTAGTATACCGCTCCCCTTTAATCTCGTCGCCCTCCCTTGTCTCTGTGATGGCTCACTGCCTGACACTCCTGCCGTCTCTTCCCCCTGGTAGGAGGAGATGGATTCCAAGGTCCTGCAGTTCAAGAACAAGAAGCTGGCGGAGCGGCTGGAGCAGCGGCAAGCTTGTGAGGATGAGCTCCGGGAGAGGATTGAGAAACTGGAAAAGAGGCAGGCCACTGATGACGCCACGCTCCTCATTGTCAACCGCTACTGGGCCCAGGTGGATGCCCGAAGACCGCCCTGCTGGAAAAGGCACTGAGGCATTCATAACCTCTTTGGTTCTTTCTTCTTTCAGCTGGATGAAACCGTAGAAGCCCTTCTCCGATGCCACGAGCGCCAGAGAGAGCTGTCTTCGGGAACAGAGGCAGCTGGGTTCCAGGAGGGGCTAACCCGTGATGGCATCCCTCGAACAGACCCAGGGACATCAGATCTGAGGGGTAGGACCAGAGCCCTGGGGTCCTTAATTTCTGGGAAAAGTCTGGAGAAGGAGGTGGCTTTGATGTTGATCTGCTGAAATGTCCACCCCACCCACAGCTGTTTAAAGTTGATTTCACGCCAGCTGTGGTGGTGCACACCTTTAATCCCAGCACTCGGGAGGCAGAAGCTACTGGTTCTCTCCTAGAGTTCTAGGCCAGCCATGGCTACTTAGCTACATGGTGAGACTCTGTCTCAAAAACAATTTAAAAAATTAAATGGTGAGTGACAACAAAGTTTTAGACTCTAACTGGATCTTCATAATCCCAGCACTCGAGAAGTAGAAGCAGGTAGATCCCTATTTTTTTCTAATTATTTATTCAGTTATGGTCTTTTGAAGCAAGGTCGATGTCACCCTGGCTGTCCTGGCACTCCATCTATAGACCAGGTTGGCCTCAAACTCAGAGATCCTCCTGCCTCCTGAGTGCTAGAATTAAAGGCTTGCACCACCACTGCCCAGCCTCTGTTGTTAAAAAACAAAACAAAACTGAACTGCGCTTGAGTCTTTGGCAATCTTAAACAGATCACAGGTGTAAAAATTAAAAAGAAAGAAAAGGAATACTCAGTAGTAATTATGGGTTTATTCTAGACATAGAGGGATCAAAATAAACAGAAAGAAATATATTCTTGCCATAAAGGAAACTATATAACCATAGTAAGTAAAAAGAATTGGGGCTGCTGAAGAGGAATAAATGCGGTGGGAGGCTGGGTTCTACTTTAGATTGGGAAGGCAGAGGAGCCTTCTCTGAGGATGTGATGTTGCTGATCCTTAAGAAAATTAACTATTGTTAGACATGGTGGTACAAGCCTTTAATCCCAGCCCTGGGGGCTCAAAAGCAGGTGGATCTCTGTGTGCTTGAATGAGGCCAAATGAGATCCCGTTCTGTCTCAAAAAAGAAAAGAAAGGAAATTAGTTATTTAAATCTTAGGTATCTCCCTGTTAAGATAGGACAAGAGTACCCTGCGGGCTGTATTAATTAGCTCTTGAGATGGAAGAGCTCATTTTGGAACATGGTACAGTTTGATGGTCACTGCTGCTTTTATTCCCGTTATTATGGGGGTTCTCTGTCCCTTCCAGAACCCATGCCAATGCAGTTTCGAACGCCTCTCAGTGAGCCAGCCTTGGCCTTTGTGGTGGCGCTGGGGGCCAGCAGCAACGAGGAGGTGGAGCTGCAGCTGCAGGGCCGGATGGAGTTCTCCAAGGCTGCCGTGTCTCGGGTGGTGGAGGCCTCGGACCGCCTCCAGCGGCAGGTGGAAGAACTCTGTCAGCGAGTGTACAGCCGGGGTTAGTTCTGCAGACCCTGTCCTAGAGAAGGCCGTCCCCACCTGCAGCCTTAGGAGTCCCCTCCCTGATCTCAGTGGTTCCTTGAGGACAGAGTTCCCAATGAACAGTCAGCCTTGTTCTTGTTGGAACCACTGAGTTCCAGATGGGGATTTCACCTTTGATCCTGAAGTGGGACCCCAGAGAGATGACTGGAGGAACTGTTGTCACTGGTAGGGTCAGACCCCTCGAGTGAGAGGGCTCTCTGAAACACTGTACAAACCTCAAAGGTGCCTATTATCCACTGTTCCGAGAGGCAAGTACCCAAGCTTTTTGTGACAGCAGGGTTCTCTCTCCTATCGTCAGCCCCCCTACCTAGTGTCAGCCCAACAGTTATTCCTGAGCCAGCTTTGCTGGGACATCACACTCAGTGCAGAAACTCCGGGATGGATTATCCAGGGCTTGACTCTCAACCTGGGCTCTGCATTCCTAGGGGACAGTGAAGCCCCTGGGGAGGTGGCTCGGGTGCGCACCCGGGAGCTGGGCAGAGAGAACCGTCGACTCCAGGACTTGGCCACCCAGCTGCAGGAGAAGCATCACCGCATCTCATTGGAGGTGGGGATCAGGGCTTCTGGATGCAGTTAGAACCAGGGCAGGGGTTGGTTTGCCACCTAAGGGTCTCAGGAAACCAAGCCGCTTTCCATTGCCTCCAGTACTCTGAGCTCCAAGATAAAGTGACATCAACAGAGACCAAGGTCCTGGAGATGGAGACGACAGTGGAGGACCTCCAGTGGGACATCGAGAAGCTGCGCAAGCGGGAACAGAAGCTCAATAAGCACCTGGCAGAGGCCTTGGAGCAGGTGCGGGAGCGGATGGAGCCAAATGGAGAACTCCGGGACTCTGGCTTCCGCCCCTCACATGCTCTGTGTTTGTTCTCTCTGCAGCTCAACTCTGGCTACTATGTGTCTGGGAGTTCCTCGGGCTTTCAGGGAGGCCAGATCACACTTAGCATGCAGAAGGTGAGCGGCAGCATTCCTCCAGTCCAGCCTTGGACCTTCCCTGAGGGCAGGCATCTGTGTCCGAGACTGTTCCCTGCTGCACCTTTTTCTTTCATGCACTTATATACTTAGTTATTAAACAATTTCAGAAGTTAAGTGCCAGGAGCTAGGCGACTGGAGAGCACCAGTGACAGCCGGAGCTTTACTTGACTTTGTCTTGAGAAGCCAATGTGCATATTTGAGCATGCTCGGTCCTCTTGAGCATCTCCCTCCGCCTTGATGCTAGACTTCAGTCTGTGTTTTGCTCCTTTGGTTTTGAGGCAGGGTCTCATGATATAGGCCAGGCTGGCCTGGAACTTGCTGTGTAGCTGAGGGTAAATGATCCTTTTGCTTTTGTCTCCCAAGGGCTGAGATTATAGGCTTTGAACTACCATACTTCTAATCAGTTTCTTAATGAACTCCAACTCTGTTTCGTATGAGGGAGCAATAAAGCTCCCATGGAAGTTAGGTTCTCTTTGGGGGAACATACAAGTAATAAATAGTACACAAGTTGGTAATGAGTAGCATAAAGAAAAAGTACAGGAAAGATGTCCCGTACAGGGCTGATTTCCTCCATTTCCCCAGAGCCTTGGCAACCCCTTGGTTTGCCTCTGTCAGTGCTCAGCACAGGGGAGCCTGGGAGGAATGCATGGGGATTGTGGGGGACATACTGCCCGTCCTGGTCTTGGAGCCTGGGAGGAATGCATGGAGATTGTTGGGGGACATACTGCCCGTCCTGGTCTTGGAGCCTGGGAGGAATGCATGGGGATTGTGGGGGACATACTGCCCGTCCTGGTCTTGGAGCCTGGGAGGAATGCATGGGGATTGTGGGGGACATACTGCCCGTCCTGGTCTTGGAGCCTGGGAGGAATGCATGGGGATTGTGGGGGACATACTGCCCGTCCTGGTCTTGGAGCCTGGGAGGAATGCATGGAGATTGTGGGGGACATACTGCCCGTCCTGGTCTTGCCTACCACAGCCCCTTCCACTCCTTAGTTTGAGATGTTGAATGCAGAGCTGGAAGAAAATCAGGAACTGGCCAATAGCCGCATGGCGGAACTAGAGAAGCTTCAGGCCGAGCTTCAGGGGGCTGTCCGGACCAACGAACGGCTCAAGGTAGGCTGTGGTTGAGACTGAGAGGC